CATTGCCTTAAGAATTAGATGCTTTGTTTTAGTTGTATTCATATTCATTTGTCCTAGTCATGCGCAACCGTTTAAACAAATAAATGATGGTAAAGGACACTTGCATTATAGCGTCATTTACTACCACTACCATAATACCTGGAACATTATTTTCTTTTGTTCAGTTAATTAGCATCCATTGTCTTACTATTCTCATGAGGGAATACAAATTTGAATAAGAAAGAAAATTTGCTAAGTGTCTTGGTAGTGGGAGTAAAATGACGCCAACATGCAAACGGCCTATTGGAAATGACATGAAGATTGAAATTGAAAAATATTACGCACCAGGTTAAAAAGGTTTAAAGAAAAAGAACGACGCGGAATAAAATTGTCGTCTACCAGCATGGCTTTATTAAATCTTTTCCGTTTGTCCGTACATCCGTGTACACACCACAGGGTGTCCGTTTGATTAGAAAAATCGCAATAAATGACCAAAAAACCTTTGGCATCAGGGCAATTGAACTGATGCAAACTACTAAAATGGACGCTGTACTTCTAAGCTTAGGTTTTAACGGCTTCTCAAATGATAGTTAAATAAAAATTCTATGATTTAAAGGAATAAAAGAAATTCAGTTAATGAGTCTTAAGGGGGTGGGCGTGCAAGGGGTGAGGATTTGATAGATGTGCCCCCTTGCTGCGCTCGTGCGAGTCCACTTGTGTTTGAGCATTTAAAGACGTCATCTATATTCAGTAAGAGGATAGACAAGGTGAATTAATGAGTGATTTGTTTATATGAGAAATTTTAATGCGCGCGCACATCGTGGGCTCAAATAATGACGTCAACTGCGTTGCGTAGGGCCGTGCGCAGTTGATTTATTTTTCTATAGTAGACAACTACCGTAAGCTCATATTTTGCTGACCATTTCTTAACCAATTTTCAAGTTTTTTTAGAGCTGTTTTGTCCTGGAAGAAAATTTGAAATCTCTAAAATTTAATTTGATTGTATTTGAATGAAAGATCATCAAATGCAAAATTCGCTAAACCTGTTATTGTGTTCGTTTACATGCAGTTATCTTTTTCGTTTTTTAAATGAATATATATTAGCCAGAAAATTGCAAAAAATGTCGGCCATGGCAAACTTTGTCGAGATATTTTTCAAGAACAAAACTAGCCCCTGGTGAGTCGTGTACACGTGACAAAATTACTTGAGATTCATTAAAGTCGAAAACAAAGACTCGCGCAAAAAAAAAGTAGTGAAATTTGATTGTTTTTTTAACTGGTTTTTATTATCGGGACATTATCTTGATCTCCAATCAAAAAATAATAATAATGTCGTTTTTGCTATTCTATTCATTTCACCTTTTTTCCAGCTCTATCTAAAGTTATCTAAAGTAGGCTACCCGTGGCTAAAACAACGCGAGCTTTGCTTTTAGGCATTACCTAAATTTCAAGGAATTACGTATACACTTATTTTCAATAAAGTTAGTCACCTGCAAAGCTACAAAGCTGAGACCGGCAAGGATTATAAGTAGATACATTTTACATGTTTCAACCACTTCATAACTGTTGATGGAATTGAGTTCTTCTGGCAGTTACGAGTTCACCTCCCCTGAGCATCCTCAACTGCTGCAGTTTGTGTCGAAACCTTTACTTGTTGAATATGAAATATTTCCCATGATTCTCAGCGATCACAGCTCTCTAGGCTTTTGGTGACTAACTTTATTGAAATAAGTATATACACTTTCCTAACTAACCTAGCTGTTCAAAAATGCCCAACGAAGTATAGCGGGTCATCCCATCAGACACGTCCCCTAATCATTCTTTTCGTCGAATCCTTCGCATTTTTCGCGTAGTTTTAACAGTTGCATAGCAACCTGAGCTGCAGTCCCTTCTGTATTTGCCTTGGAACCTAAACATGATTTATACTGGTGGCTCGTGAGGTTTGGGTCGCAGTGCTTCTCATGATAGTAATGAAAAAGATCCCGATCTGGAGCACGGATTACCCTAAAAAAATGACAAAGCTATCAATATCGGGAGCCGAGGTTTGGAAAAATGTACCTCGTAGACTTGCCACAAGTTGAGGTATATAATTTGGTGACTGGCTACTTAAAAACGACTTTTTTAAAAGAAGCTAGTAATGGAATCTTAAAGTGAAATTTAATGCTGATTCAAAATGTGTCAAGAAAAATGGGGTATCTTTATTTCGAGATAATCAGCATTTACTGAATACCAACGCGCGAGCTTTGCAAAAAATGCGCCACCTGAAGTGATCAGAAAAAGTTATTCTCATAAGATGATAGTTCTTTGTAGATTATATAAAAGTGATTGATGAACATGCATTAAACTTCAAGTTCGAGGGCCGCAGGCAGGGCCCGAGGTCTTGAATTCCAATGCAACCCGAGCACTTGCGTTTTAACTGGTTTAAAAACCAAACACGCCCTATTTTTATTGTTTGATGTAGGGTTTGAATTAAGATGGAAAACCTGTCCCGGGTTTTGACTTCAGCCCCGCTCTCTCCTGTTAGTATCAAATGCTGAATTCAAAACCCGGGTTCCCTGTGCGGGAGGTGCTCGGGCCAAAAGTAGGGGGCTGAGTACTAACCTTATTCCTCGGTGTGCTATGTATCGTGAGTGCAGGAGCTGATCTTCAGATCCCCATCCCTCGATACTCAAGTCAAATCCTCCAACATTCAAATAATCAGCCCTGTATTGGCAGGTCATACCAAAGCCGTATCTGCGCCAAAAACCATACTGACGATCTGTAATCAAAACATTAAAAAAAGTTAAAAGTGAAGTGAAGTGAAGTGAAGTGAAGTGAAGTGAAGTGAAGTGAAGTGAAGTGAAGTGAAGTGAAGTGAAGTGAAGTGAAGTGAAGTGA